AGAAATTAGGGAATATAAACTACATTATAAAGAATACGCCATATCTTTATGGATTATAGATTTTTTTAAACTTTATTTTATTCAGCTTTTTGTTTGTTCGAAATATAATGAAATATGGTATGAAATAAGAAAAAGGAAAGGAACGCGTGAGAAATTTAAGCTAATTGTGTATATATGATAGGAAACTACGAACATGCATTTTACATACATATGTTCCTATGTATTTATGTATGTATTATATATGTATATCTCTTTATTAAATGTTACATTTATATTATAAGAATACTTAATTAAAAGTGGCCTGCTGTGGGCTTCTTCAATATATCCTTATCGCGTTGAATGATTTCCTGTTTTCGCTCCTTTTGCGCTTTATTGATTATCTCGTCAATTTCTTCTATTGATGGGCCATCATCCACTTTGCTGGCTTCACTTCCCTCTTCATATTTGTCGTGTAGCCAACGTCCATTAGAATCTCGATCTTCGACAGCGTTTTCACGACGCCATACACGATTTCCAAAGCCACCACCACGTGCTGCTCCTCTTCCACCACGCCTTGGCCATGGCTTAGCTGGCTTGGAGTTAACATGATGAGGTGGTGAAGCTCTAACACTCCTACTAACCGTACGCTCATAATTATGTTTTCCGTAAGGCGATTCACGACGGTTATGTAATGTACGCGAACGAGAACGTGTGCGACCTGGAGTACGAGAGCGAGAACGGCGGTAAGGTGACAAGGAGCGTGATGAGCGTCTGCTGCGGGAACGGCGGTAAGGTGATAAAGAGCGTGATGAGCGTCTGCTACGTGAACCACGTCGGCGCCCCCCATCATACATAATGGAGTGTGAACGTGAACGTCGACGATTCCAACGACCACCCGAACGTGAATGTGAACGGTAACGGCCGCGACTAAGACTGCGGCTGCGAGTTCGAGTAAATTGACGACGTTCTCGTGATGGTGTAAGTGAACGCGAACGAGAACGCGGTGAAGGACTTCGATGTGCTAATGGTGTAGCTACGCGAAACAATCCAAATTTATCCACCTTAACGGGCCGTTTGATTTGAAATGAAAATTTTGTCCGCTCGTTAGATGAGGCTGCATTAGCAGCTGCAGCGGCGGCGGCCGAAGTACTTGGATAAGATGCATAATAAGATGAAGAAGCGGGATAGTTGGATGCCGAGTGCTTTGATGAACGCATTGAGGATACATGCGGCGGCGTTTCAGAACGTTTGCGGCTGGTCATGCCAGCTTCTATGGATTGCACTAACTCCTCCTGACGCTTTTTAATATCGGCTATAGTTTTTTCATATTTTTGCAAATTTTCGGTGAGTTTATTTTCGATGTTCATGCTGCTGATTGCTCTGGTTATTTGTGTCACAACAGATAAATAAATGACATAGTTAATAAAATATAATGAAACTTACTTGTAAGCTTCCTGGAAATTAATTTTGCTCAAAATATTTGCTGCATTTTTTTCTTTGCGACTAACTTTTTTCGTCTTTTTATTCTTTTTCTTTTTTATTTTCTTTTTTTCCTTCTTGTGTTTCGATGCTTCCTGCAATAATTTCCGCACACGTGAGCCTGTATCGTCGTCATCCAGCTGAAAATATGAAAGCCGTTGTAAAATGGCGTTACGATTGATGACGAAATGTGTTGCCTTACCCGAAATTCATTAATATGCGTTGTGGCGGACGGTACGTTATATGCTGTCATGTAAAATGGTTGATTCAGTTGTTTCTTGGACTCCTCCTCCTTTTGTAGGCTGGCCACATGCAAAGCCATGCGTTTACTAAGCGGTGACAATGAACCATCCTTTCCAATATCCTCGTTATCTGAAAAGTGAGCGCAGCGTACTTTTATAAAATGGCTAAATATTTTTTTTCAACACAGTATTGTCCTTTAGAATACATCCAAAAATATTTCAACTTTAAATAAGCGGCTAAATAAAAGAGAAATAAAAAAACGGTTACTTAAATTTTGCCCAATTAATAATCCTACCTGTGTGCTCAGTTTCCGAACCGCTATCACTGGACGTTGAGCCATCGTCACTTGAAGAATTTCGTACCGACATTTTTTCCTTTTCTAAAGTGTCTTCTTCTTCACCTTTACATACACAACAAACAAATCAAACACGCTTATACATTATATACATTTTCCGAATTAGTAGAAAACTAAAAGTGATTTCGCTACCTTGCAGATGTGCTAAATTCTCAAAATATTGACTACCGGAGCGCTGTTGAATTGCTTCGAGCGATAAACGCGCTTGCTCATGATTCGGTATAATATTTAAACAATCTTGGTATGCTTTGGTTGCATCTTTTATGCGATTTTCATCCTCATAACGACGACCTAGCGCCACAAGAGTCTCGCCCATATATTTACGAGCGTTTACATGATAAGTATTAAGTTTAAGAGCTTTCTCGAAATCATCTACGGCTTTGAGAAATGAACCCTTGTTGGCGTAGAGTGCACCACGTGCGACTAGGCCTTCTACATTACGCGGGTCAATGGTGAGGGCTTTGTTAAGACACTGAAAAGCTTCAACGTGATTGCCATTCTTGAAGTGTTCAATGCCTTCGGCAACCGAGCTGTTATGTTTGTTTGATGAGATTGTAATTAATATGTTTGCTTTATTTGTATTAAATTTGTATCATAAGGCTACAATGAAAAAGAAAATATTAATTAATGTGACAAACATAAAGAACTCACCGGAAGGCCCATTTGCTTGCTTGTGTGCGGCGCAATTCCTTGGCATATTCATCCCGCGGAAATGGATGTTTTAATGAAGACATAAAAGTGTAGGTTTCATTTACATCTAAGCCATTGATTTCATAAAGAATGTCATAGTTCGGATTCAAAAATTCCTTAGATTTCAGCATGTAATCCTCAAATTTTTCCAAGTTATTATAATCAATATGTCTTTAAGATTAATCAGATGGCGAAAAATCTTATTAAAAACTTATTTTTTCGTTTAGGTTAGAAGTTCAATAGAAATAGCAGATTTTTTTATGAAACGAATTTGCTATTTACATACTTTTTGTATTTTGTTATATAATCTGCTTTTCCTTTTTTACTTCTACTTACATATATGTATATTGTACATACCGATAGTATTTTGGCAAATCTGCATACGTTATTACACCAAGTGGGATATTTTTATTTTTTTCATTCATGCTTTCCAAAGTCAAGTAAAGGCGCTCAGCATCTACAGATGTTTCCAATACTTCACATCGAAGGTAATCGTTTTTATTGAAAACACGTGGTTTATCATTACCATCCAATTCGGTTTTTGTTAAATAAGCCTTGATGTTTGAAAATGATATATGAAAACGATGTATTTAGTGGATATCTATATATATATGTATGTACAGACGCAAACGATTTACCTTGATAGGTAGGTCATTCAAGAAGCGTACCATAGGCTCGCCCATGCACAGAGTTTTGACCATAGTTGTATTAGGTTTTGTTACCATGCAATATATAATATCACCTGGATTAATATTTTTCATTATACAACGGCAACGTTTTTGCTTATCCTTATTTCTATTGACGAAGAGTTCGTATGGTGGCAGCGATGCTATGTATTGTTCATCTGCAAATTAAATCAAAAGATGAGTGAATAAAACGTCCTTAAAAATTGTAATAAATAAATCGATACAAGCAAGATTTATATTCATTTTAAATCTATTCTCTCATGAAATATAAATATAATTATTCAATTTAGGAATCGAAAGAAAAATCAAATTTAGAACGACACTCAATATTTTGCATACAGTTGATTCACAATTTAAGTTATTTTGCAACATAAATCGTAAACTTACTTTCAATAATTTTATTTGGTTCCACCTCTGTACTAGTCAGCTCCGAATCGTACAAATCCAGCGCTTTACGAGCAAAAAATTGATGCAGCTTTAAACGCTTCGCACGATCTTGAAATGTAAAATATTTCTGCCTTTCCTGGTAGATGGAGTAGTCTGGATGAGCAGGTATACCGCACTTTTGTATGTCCCCTGCCCCGCGTTCGTCATCCCAAATTTTTTGCATGGGCTGGCCGTGGAAACTCAAAGCACGCATAATATAATTCGTATTCATTTTGTACACACGATATTATAACGATTTTTCTTATAATCCAATATTTCACTTTAAATAAAACTTATTTCAAACAAGTAAAAAATCCACAATTGAATTTGCACGAAACGAAAAGACGCGTTAAGGTTAATTTTGGTCTCTGTACGTACAAGAGTACATATAAAGAGTATCCATTAAATTAACATATGAATACCGGTACCTGTAATATCAAATCAATCATATATTAAATTATAATATTATAACAACGTGGGGTTGATCAGTTCCTTTATAAAATGACGCGTTGAAAAAACTCGAATGGTTAATTTATTCTCTTCCACTTCTGCCTGCCCACTCCTTTGAGTATAGCTGTAGGCAATTGTTTTTACCTCTCCAGTATACACCACAATAAATTAAAATTTTTGGGTAAATATTGGTTGATTAAAGACGTTAATAAGTAGTGGAATCTACTTACAATACACCGAAAGTTTATAAAATCTATCTTAACTTCTTTTATCACAAAAAAATGCTAGAAATATTTGTTACTTGGTGCGGCTGTGAGAAAAATGACAGCAGTTTGCAAAGTGATGCGTCACAGTAGTGTGTTATTGTGAATGAAAAATGTTATGAATCTGATTCATGGCGAACGAAGAAAGTGCATGCGAACACTGTTCAGTTAGATTTTCTTCGTTCATCGCTTGAATAGCTGTTACGATGGGTAAAATTCAATTTTAAATATTGAAACAGCTAAAATGAATGCGTTTGCTTTTATTCAAATTCTGGTTAAATGCAAAATTTTCATATTTCAACGCATTATGCATTGCTTTTTTATATTATTGAATTTGTTTGAATGCAAATCGTTAAAAGACATTGAAATTAAAATCCTATAAAGTTCTAAAAACTACATGCATATTCTTTATTTTTTCTTTACTTTTAGCTATAAAAGTGCAAATTACTGGCAAAGGCAAATGCAAATGGATAGAAATATTACGTAAAAATTCCAACAATGAATCAGCGCGAAGTCTCTTCTACTCCAGCAAAGAAATTTACGCACACAATGAGCACACACTGCCCGTGTTTGAGCCGCGTGGCATTGAATTGAATCCCGGTGAACACAATTTCGAATTTACTGTACCACTCGAATACAATCTACCATCTAGTTTTAAAGGTAGTTACGGTTCTATAAAGTATAAATTGCGTATAGTCATCCAAAGGCCATGGACTTTCGACGAACGGCACATTATACCGCTAACTGTGCTAAAGCATATGCCGCTGTCACCGTGTTATCGTTCGAATCCCACCTCGTTGGAAAAGCAAATTACCAAAACGATTAGTCTATTTGGCACACGTCCCATAACAATGCTGGCATTGTTGCCGGAAGATTCAGCGGTACGTGGTGAACCTTTGCGTATTTGTGTCACTGTCACCAATAACAGTACGACAAATGTGGAGAAACTACGATTCAGTGTGCTACAGTATATCTGGTATTACAGTCATGTACCGTTACGTGTGCAAAAAATGGAATGCGTACCACTAGTCAATAAAGAGACTGGTGCAGTGCATAAGAAGAGTGAACGTTCCTTTGCACATGAGCTAATGATACCGCCTACGACGCAACCGTCCGATGATGAGCTAAGCGGTGTTATAAATATATCGTATGAGTTGCGTGTAGAAGCGGTGCTGCGTGGCTTTTTTAAGAATCTCATACTTAATTTACCCTTTAAGATGTATTCCAGTGGCGCTACCGCTGTACTTAATAATCTATCTGGTGGTCCACCAAGACCGCCACCTCGATATGGCAATCGTAATAGTGCTAACATTGGCATGGTAGCGAATGTCACAATGAACGGTGCAGGCAATCCATTTGAGAATAACGCTACACCATTGAGCATTGCAACTTATCCTTCACTTGATTCATCCATCGGCTCGCCATCGCACTCCTCACAATATAGCGAATACAGTTCATTACGTTCAGTTAATTCCGATTCTTCTGCGGCAAGTCCCGCCTTAGCGGGAGATATTTCATATGTCTCTGGCATATCCTCCAACTCCTCTACGACGACATTAAGTCCGGCTTTGGCTGGTGACCTTTCATATGAATCTTGCGCATCGCCACAATTTAATAGTCCTTCGGCGCGTGCTAGTCTGCGCAGTTCAACGGTACCCTACGTTATGTATCCACCTAGTAGTAGTCCACTCATGATCAACTCTTATCCGCCAGCACAAGTGCCAACGTATCCGTCACTATCGGAATCACCTGGTTATTCGCTGATGCGTTTACCCGAAGACATATTACCTCCACCACCCATTACACCGCCCTCAGGGTCCACAGTGGGCACATTGGCGCGCCAGGAATCTGCTACATCAGCCACAACCGCAGCAGCGCGTTCGTCATTTTTGCACGGAATGCAGCCGCCAGGAGCGCATGAACTGCGTAAGTGCAGAGATAAAATTTGATTTTGTTTACAGTCAGTTTTTATAGCTGATAGAACACAATGCAATACAAATATGAATTCTATTACAAATTTTCTTAATTAGAAAATTATTTTTCAATATTTTTCCAGCACCATCTTACGAAGAACTCTTCGGCTCCGCCACTGCACCACCTGAAACACCGAAATGATACTGTAACTACTTTCAGATATAAAATACTTTGTCTAATAATTCACTAAACACCACTACGGCGCCAAAAGTTACTAGACCCACCCAGGAAAGAGTAGAGTATGGACCACTCCTCTTGTTCTAAATGAAGTATCATAAACATTTATAATATATATTTAAAAAATTAGACTGTTTTATTCATTTTGGTCGCAAAATTTACAAAAACATATACGAACCTACTCATATACATATATACATTTAGTGTTAACATATTTTCTTTATATAGAAAATAAATAAATAAAATTGAATTTGTATGTACGATTCGATGCTAGCACTTAAGGCAAAGCCTTTATAGTTTTAGGGCATTACCACTGACTAAGCAATGCTTTTTACACACTATTACAGCACGAGAAAATCTCATTTATTATGGCTTGAAGCTATCGTAATATTTAGCCAGTAAGTAAGTTATTCGTATGCACAAATATGTCACGCATACATACATACTATATTATGCAATGTTTAATGTAATTCTTAAAACAATAAAATATTAAACGCAAAAATTATATTGATAAAAACAGGTTAAAATGAAATTAGATTCAAATTTAAAACGAAATTGATACAAATTACATATGTATATAAAAAATAGCGCTTGGATTACAGCCACATTGACATATGAAAAAGTAAGCAATAAATAAACTACATTGATGAAGAATAATAATTATTTATTGTTAATTAAAAATAAATAATTACTTTACTAAACATGTAAAATAGCATAAATATGCAACTGACGTGCACGAAAGCAGAACGAAACTGAAATTCCTACGCAAAGCAAACGTAAAAGTTAAGTCAATAAATTTATCATAGAAATTTTTACAAAAAGTACACTCAAATGTGCTATTGCATGAAAAATACGCTGCTAACAAATTGCTTCGCTTTGATAGTCGAACTCAATATTTATGTGAGCAAAAATATAGCCTCTCAACGCTTGCAAATAAAAAAAAAAATTTGGCGGTGTTGTAAGAAAATCAAAAAGCCACTACGAAAATTCTGTTAACCAGAAAATTTCTCACAGCTTAACAATTACGCTCGAATATGTATTGAATTATTAGATAATCGTATAGATAATCTTTTGTATATTGTAACCTTTACAACAAAATATATTTTTTACAATAAATTTAAAAAAAAATTAAAAAGTGTTTGCCAATTCAATATGCCTCATTATAAATATAAATATTTTTTTCTAACATTTTATTGTTTTATATATTATACTATTTATTTTCATACATTTAAAAAATTCATACACACGATCTTGCCGAAATATAAATAATCATAAATAAAAAAAATATGTAAGTACTTTTTCCAAAAATTTGTTTTTGTGTACTTGAAATTGTTATGAAACAAAAAAGTCATTAAAATGCAATTCTTTATTTTTAATCATTGCTTTGTTAAATTAATTATCATTAAATTATTTTTTAATTAAGTTGGAACGAAAATATTCGAAAATTTGTTTATTTCTATTTTGTTTTTGTGATAACATGACAATGGCAACCTTTATATATGAGTTTAGACAGATTTTATGTTATACACATTTTTATTAATAAGGCAATGTACTGCAGTCATAAGAGAACTTGAAAGCAAACGAAAAAAATAGTTTCAGTCTAATCTATATATATATATATATACATGAACATACTTTCAATATGCAAATAAAACGACTTTATTTACGTTTTTAAGCAATTTTTTACAATTTAAATTTAATTACAATAACAGCTAAGCTTGAAAATTTGCATCAAATGATTTTCGGTTCAGTATGTAGGTAAAAGTCTCATGTCGCTAAAATAAGTATAACAAGCACATTTGAACCAAGGCAACAACAAAAATTAATTGGTTTCAGTAATAATAAGATAATACCCTTCCAAAGTGTGTTCTATTTTATATAACTGTAGTTTCTTAGTAATACTACTGTGAACGTTGACTGTTTCGAAAATAATCTCCAATTTTCTATTATTTCTGTATGATTGCTCTTTTTTCTGCATTTTTCGAATTTAAATGAAACCTTTTAATAAGTAAAACTTGTTTGTAATACATATATACTTAAGCACATACGGTTAATATATGAATTTATACGAAAACACCAACTTAACCTTAAACCATACAACTGCCGTTACGTCCAAACCTATTTACGGGTAATTATTTAGATAAACTTTACTTTGTTTATGACAACATATTTCAGTTTTGCCGTTAGGAGCATGCAATTTAAGTGAAAAAATGATGAAAACTGAGTTTTTTTAAGTTTTCCAATGAAGTTGCAGGTGAAACCGATTGTAAATAATGAAATTTGTCTTTTTTTAGTGTGTAATGTTAAAAAGAAAATAATAAAATAAAACTATAAATTTTGAGTAATTTGTGGGAAAAAATTAATAGAACTTAAAATATATGTATATATTTTTTAAATAAATAAATTTTTTAAATAAATAAATTTTTTAAATAAATCAATTTTTGAAACTTCGCCGGCTCTGCGGACTGCAATTCGAATATTTGAACACACTTTTGTTAAACCAATTAAAATTAATATTTTTTTACATAATTCAATATTTTTGTATTGTTTTTGTTTCTAATTTATAGAAATATAAATAAATATTTGAAGAAAAAGTTGTAGCTTACTTCTATACAAAAATACAAAAATTAAGGATTTTATGTTAAAATTTCTAAAAATAATTTATATCGTTTTTATAACTGTTTTTCTTGCCGAATGAATATAATATATAAAATGGTACTGCTTATTTGCTTTATTGCCAGTGTGAAAATAGTTAAGATTATAAAATATAACTATTGAATAAACAAATATAATATTAAAA